AAAAACTTCAAAAATTAAAATCCTTCGAGATGTAGTTATGTTACTACATCTACTAGTTAGGAAAATTTAAAAACTTAAATTTGGACATGTTTTGCAAAAAAGTGTGATGAAAAAGTAAAACGACTATATCTTTTGCATACGATGTCAAAAAATATCGTATAATATATCAAAATGTTCGGCACGAAAATCCGCATCCGATTTTGACAGCCATAGGCCTGTTTGCAAATTTTTAGAATCCTTAAATTCTAAAAGGAAAAAAATATGCTCAAATTTCAGTTTTTTTGAATTTTGGTCAAACTATGGTCAAACTACTTATCCAAGAAATATTAGTGTTACTAAATAATTATTCAAGAATATTAGTGATACTAAATAATTATTTCAATTTTTTGAATTTTGGTCAAACTATGGTCAAACTACTTATTCAAGAAATATTAGTGTAACTAAATAATTACTGTTTTTTAGAATAATAGTTTCAAATTCAAACAGTGAAACGTGTGACCTAATGCTCAAACTAGGATTGACAGCTTACTATTGTTTTTTTTTTGAGCTGGACAGCTTACTATTGTCAGCAAAACAACAAGTGTAGACTTGAAAACTAGGGGGAATGGAACTTCGAAGTTAAGCGTGCTCGGGCTGGAGTAGTGAGAGGATGTGTGACCGGCCGGGAAGTTAGACGATTTGGAATGAGTGATCCACACTTGAGCAGTTAAGAGGGGTGATTAGAGACTAAATCGTCAAATAATTTAAAAAATCAAAATTTAAAAAAAAATCATTTTTTTTCAAAAATTAAAAAAAAAAACCTTTAGTACCGGTTGGTACCAAGGTACTAAAGGTCCCCCGTACCACGGTGCGGGTTCGCGCCACGTGGTGGGCCTTTAGTAGCGGTTCGTGCAGAACCGGCACTAAAGGCCCTTACGAACCGATGCTATAGCCCGATTCTGCCCTAGTGTCTTTGTGCTCATGACGAGACAATTAAGCACCTCTTCTTTTAGGGTAATGTTTTATACATGTCATTCAAATAACATCAAATTTAAGACATCAAGAAGTATTGCAAATACATATGGTAACTGGCTTGGCGGCATACGTAGCAAGTTTTCAAAGCTAATAATGAGAGTGGTGCGTCTGCCTCTTTATGGTCATTTTAGCTATGTAGAAATGATAATCTTTTGACTCGAAGCTCACATGTTCTTGATGAAAAAAAAGCAAAACAAATAAACAATCTGATTTTTTTAATAAACGCTAATGGATGTTTCAACTGCGTATAATTTTTTGTGATGAATTGACATTCGTGGAGGTCTTGGCAAATCAATGCTCCAAAAGGCTTCCAACAATAATCTTTTTGGAGCATCAGTGTTTATTAAAAAGAATCAGATTTTAAAAAAATATATTTTTACTATTTTTTATTTTACTGCTCATCAGTGAGCATATGAACCAAACTCTATGTCCCCATATATGCACCCATTGCATGTTGTATTCTTTTGATGCTATGTTATGAGTCCAAGGAAACATAAAAAAATCTCCATGTTTTTTTCCTTAATAAAAAGTGGTCAGTCTGACTCGTAGCTAGGCCTTTCTTTTACAATCAATATCATGATATATTTGTTGCGGCGAAGTATACACAATAGAAATACATGAGCTGACTACATCGACTATAAAATGAAGTCTAAAAGAAACAAGCAAATCTTCGATATCTTCAGACTCTTTCTTCTTCCATGACACGATCTTGTACTTTTTTGAAGGCAGCCCCATAAAAATAGCAAAAACTTGTACTTTTCTGAAGACAGCCACATGAAAATAGCAAAGGTATCTAATCACGGACCTGTAAATACCAACAAGGTTTCTTCTATAGTTTTAGTTTGAGCCATAATGTCAAGGCTGCAATGCACTCTCGCAGCCATTATAAAGTAATCAATCAATATCGGCAAAAGTACCAACACCAGTATTTCAGAAACAAAAAACCAAAGAGGTCAGCGTTGTTGGGAGACTCGTAGCTAGCCTTGGTATCCAAGGCAAACATATAAATAATCTACCCGAAAAAAACATATATAATACGTAGGGAAAATAAAGAAACCATCATGTATAGTCAAACGTTGAACTCGTCGTGTACATGCGTGCTGATATATAATGCGGTGCAGTGCAGGTCGACAGCTCGATCAGATGGCGTGGAGATAACATTCTTTAACTATTTTTCTCCAGAAAAAAGAGCCATTTCCCATGGACGAAGAATTTCATCCCTAAGCAAACTCTGACTCCCCTCACAGTCACACATACTACATGCATACTCCTTACCTTATATATACTCCACCGCGCCGTGCACCTCAAGGGCGTGCAGACGTATACACCACGCCAGCCCAAGCCCCGAACATTACTAGCAGCTGCTTGTGCACGACTCGGAGTCGTCGGAGGTCGATGGCCGGCGGCGGAGGGGACGAGAAGGTGACGCTGCTGGGCCACTGGGGGAGCGCGTACGTGACGCGAGTCCGGCTGGCGCTGCACCTCAAGGGCGTGAGCTACTCTTACGTGGAGGAGGACCTGCGCAGCAAGAGCGACCTCCTCCTCCGCTGCAACCCCGTCCACCGCGCCGTGCCCGTGCTCATCCACCACGGCCGCCCCGTCTGCGAGTCGCAGGTCATCCTCCAGTACATCGACGAGGCCTTCGGGCCACCGTCCCTCCTCCCCGCCGACCCCCACGAGCGCGCCGTGGCCCGGTTCTGGGCGGCCTACGCCGACGACGTGCTGGGGGCGCCGTGGGAGAAGGCGTACAGGGCCGGCACCGAGGAGGAGCGGGCCGGGTGGATGAGGCGGGTGGTGGCGGCCACGGACGCGCTGGAGCAGGGGCTGAGCGAGTGCACCGACGGGGGCAGCAAGGGCTGCTTCTTCGGCGGCGAACGGGTCGGGTTCGTCGACGTCGTGCTCGGCGGCGTGGTCCCGCTGGTGCACGCCACCGTGGAGATCTCCGGGGACAGGCTTTTCGGCGACGCCGGCAGGACGCCGCTGCTGGCCGCCTGGCTGCGGCGCTTCGGCGAGCTCGACGCCGCCAAGGCGCTCCTGCCGGATGTCGACAGGGTCGTGGAGTACGTCAGGATGATACACGCCAAGAATGCCGTCAAGGCTCCTGCAAATTAACAACGCCATCGCATGGCGACGTGGCGATGCAGTTATAGCTAGCTGGCCAGGCGGGTCGCGCGCTGTGGGTGATTGGGCTTGGTGCTTAGTAGTATAATTTTTTTATGTGTGGTCTGTCACATTTTTAATGATCTGGTTCCATTTTGTGATCTGTAATGAACTTGCAAAACAACTTGTCGGTGCTATTTCTATCGCAAAAAAAAACTTGTCCGTGCTATTCCGCAAAAAATAATAATATTATAGGTGTTCATATCTACGTTGCAATGAGTTAATGGCAGAGGAAAATAGAAACACGCCAACAAGGCGGATGTGGATAAACTGAGCTCGAGCTCATATGAGCTATGAACAGTAAAATTCAAAAAAATTGAAAAAGTTATGCCAATATTTAACGAATGTTTTATATGCTTGCAGTTTTTCATCATAAAATGACATTGTGTAAGTCATGATAAAAAAAGCAAAATCAATGCTTGTTCTTTTTTCGAGTAATATCGGCCTGGTGCAGGGCGCCGCGGACATACGAAGCACCAAAAAAAGCTCAAGCTCCTATCCAAAGAAACAAGTGCTTATTACAAGTCGCGGTACACAGACCTGCAAACCAATCAACTTTGTCTCAGTTAATTTTGCATGGTGACTCGTAAAAAAAAATTATTTTCAGCTTTTCTTTTTCTTCTTATATCCTATATCACTTTTTTTGCCGGATATATCCTATACCACTTGACTGAGACTTGGTTAAGTCTCAATCATAAGCTCCTACATTGAAATTCGTGCAATTTTTTTTTCTAAAGGCTTTTCTTTTTCTTTCTTACATTCCATGCTATATGTCACCTGTCGACGACTGAGACCTAGCCACGCCCTTATTACAAATCACGCTACAGGTAGAGTTGCAAACCAATCAACTTTCTCTGCTGCAAGTGCACATAACATTCAGTTCCTCATTTCGCCGTCGACAGTCCATGGACGCGCGCGTGCTGATACATGGAGCCGTGGTTAATTCGCAGGAGGTGCCTTGGCAGCGTTCTTGGCGTGTATGAACCTGACGTACTCCACGACCCGGTCGACGTCCTGGAGCAGCTCCGTGGCGGCGTCGAGCTCGCCGAAGCGCCGCAGCCACGCCGCCAGCAGCGGCGTCCTGCCTTCATCCTGGAACAGCCTCTCGCCGGAGACCCTCGCGGTGGCGTGCACGTACGAGACCACGCCGCCCACCACGACGTCGACGTACCCGACGCGTTCCCCGCCGAAGAAGCATCCTTTCCGCCCGCCGTCGGTGCACTCGCCCAGCCCGCGCTCCAGCCCGTCCGCCGCGTCCACCACCTTCTGCATCCACGCCGCCCGCTCCTCCTCGGTCCCGGCCCTGAGCGCCCGGTCCCACGGCGCGCCCATCTCCTCGTCGAAGTACGCCGCCCAGAACCTCGCCACGGCGCGCTCGTGCGGGTCGGCGGGGAGGAGGGCGTCGCCGGGGGAGCCGAAGGCCTCGTCGACGTACTGGAGGATGACCCGCGACTCGCAGACGGGGCGGCCGTCGTGGATGAGGACGGGCACGGCGCGGTGGACGGGGTTGCAGCGGAGGAGGAGGTCGCTCTTGCTGCGCAGGTCCTCCTCCACGTAAGAGTAGCGCACGCCCTTGAGGCGCAGCGCCAGCCGCACCCGCGTCACGAACGGGCTCCCCCAGTGGCCCAGCAGCGTCATCTCGCCGCCGTCTCCGGCCATCGATCTCAGGCTATGTGTCTGGCCTTGTGGTCGTGGTGTACGGCGCGGTGCTGGAGTTGGATCTAAATCCTTGATGCTTGTGGAGGACATCGTTTGCTTCTGGATGAATCTTCTTCCCGGGAAAGATTAAGGGGTGTTTGTTTCGGAAGTCTTAGGATTTTTTCTAGTCCCAGAGACTAATAAAAAAAAACTCTTCAATAGAGTCTTTTTTTAGTTTTTGTAAAAAAAATTCCTCCCGTTTGGTTCTTAAAGACTTTTTCTAGTCTCTGAGACTAAAAAGTCCTGAAACAAACACCCCCTAAACAATGTGATCTTCCACGCTAGCTGACGGATGCATCGGGCCAGCTGTGTAGACTCTAGAGAGCATCACGGCGACACCGCACACATGGCACGTTCAACATTTGACCAGACAATCTAGAGACTAAACTATAATAGATCAGACCATGTACGCTTGAATGAAACACATACGAACGTCGATGACTTTTTAATAAAATTAAATATAAGATCAAATACTTTCCAAACTGTCATCTCTAACTTCATCTTTTGCATTTGGACAATTCTCCAAAACTCTGGTGAACCACAAAAGACCAAACCTAAACACGTCAAACTAACCTCAAATTTTTTGGATAGTCTCTTGAGTCGACCACCCCAATAGGTCGGAATCTAAGGTCAATGACCCCGTTGGCGGGACATACTCCTTTGCAAGGCAAACTGCACAACGCAGAACCGCCAATTTATAGGCAGACTGTCACATTGTACATTTTTTGTATGCATGTAAAATATTGAAAATTTTGTTTAACAGCACAAATATTTTGACATTTTACAAATATATTTTTTAAATGATATGTTCATTTTTGGAAACATGTGAACAATTTTTAAATGTCATAAAAAGTTAATGCTATAATTTTGTTACAAAAATTAAGCTACTCCATTTGTTCCATATTAATTAACGCTCAAACGGTTGTATCTAGCACAAGGTCGGAGGAAGTAACTACTTTTTAAACAGTGATCATATTTTTTTTACTTTTCAAAGTAAATTAAGTAACTTGCTTTTTGAAGTACATGTATTTAGAATGCCTGAAACTGTAAACAAAAGAAAAAAAAGAGCAAACCTAGTGAACTAACATTAATGGGCCAGCTACACTTAGCGCATTCCCTAAGGCGAGGTGGACCATTGTCTCACTATAAGCGAGTCGAAGATATGTTTAGAGAAGCAGGGCTGGAAAAAAAATGTTAGATGTGGTGGGTCCTATTCCCCCACAATGCGGCAAATACAATGCAAACACACACCTAGCTAGAGTTTGCGCTGCTACATGAACTGGCATTTTTTTTGTGTGGCTCCTATTCCCCTCATAATGCGGTGAATACCATGCAAACACACACCTGGCTAGAATCGCGCTGCTACATGAGCTGGCCATTTTTTTGGTTTCCTTCCCATCGGTTTTGAGAATATTATAGAGCGTTTTTCGAGTTAGTTTTGCCTTTTTCATGTGTTTCTTTTCTTTCGGCGTCATTTACTTAATTCTAGGCCCTCTTTTTCTGGTTTTTATTTTTCCTCCTTGATTTTTGTCATGAATATTTTATGAAAATTTTAAAGTTATTTATAATTTTTACTTTTTTAAAATGCAAGAACATTTTTCCAAATTTGAAAAATAAATATGGTTCAAATGCACCAATAGTATTTAATATCTATGAACCATTCTTGTAATTCAAGACAAAATTCGTAAACATTTTTTGGAATTCAAAACATTTTTCCAATATTGGGCCATTTTAAAAAGTTTGTACGTTTTTTTAAATCTAGAACGTTCATTAAATCACAATAAAATAAATTTTTGAATATTTTTTATGTTTAAAAGAAAAAGGAAAAGAAAAAAGGGGGCACCCTGTCGTCATATGGGCTTGCCCAAAGCGTGCGTTGGGTTGCACGTCCCCCCTCCCGGCACTGCCACGCCCTACGTGCGCGTTAGTAGGACTCCTCGACTCTTGTGGTTCGGAGACTGAATGATATGAGCCTGCAGCTCTAGTCATTGTCTTGATCGACTTTTGTTGCCAGTGGTGAATGATCCATAACTGTTTTCATGCATAAAAAAGATATTTACGTATATTTAAAAAATGTAAACATGCATAAAAATATTTCGGATGTATACAAAAAATACAATGTGTATAAAAAATGTGGACAATGTTGAAATAAGAAAAGAAAATAAAAAACAAATGAAGAAAGTTAGTAAAAGCATGGAAAGAAACAAAGAAAACCATAAAAAATTAAAGTAAAAAACAGAAGAAAAACCTGAGAAAAACCGATGAAAACAGTAAAAAATTATAAAATTCCATATAGAGAGAAAAGAACTGCACCAGAGGCAAGCCGGCTACGGCTTACAGTAAGCGAGACATAGCTTCGAATACCATGCAAACAAACACCTGGCTAGAGTCATGCTGCTAGATAAGCTGGCCATTTTTTTTTGTTTCCTTCCCATCGGTCTTGCGAATATTATAGAGCGATTTTCGAGTAAGTTTTCCCTTTTTCATGTGTTTATTTTCTTTTGGTGTCATTTACTTTATTCTGGACTTTCTTTTTCCTCTTTGATTTTTTCATGAACATTTTTAAGTTTTTTAGAAGTTGTACTGTTTTTAAAATGTAAGAACATTTTTTTAAATTTGAAAAATAAATATGGTTTAACTTCACAAATAGTATTTTACATCTATGAACCATTCTTCTAATTCAAGAAATAATTCATAAAAAGAATTTGAAATTCAGAACATTTTTCGGTCTTGGACCATTTTCAAAATTTTGTATATCTTTTTAAATCCAGAACACTAAAGTGATCACAATAAAAAGAGATTTGTGAATGCTTTTTTATGTTGAAAAGAAAAAGAAAAACCAAAAAAGGTGCACCCCACCCGCATATGGGCTGGACCATTTTTTTGTTTCCTTCCCATTGGTTTTGCGAATATTACAGAGCTTTTTTCGTGTCAGTTTCCACTTTTTCATGTGTTTCTCTTCTTTTGGTATCATTTACTTTATTCTGGTTTTTATTTTTCTCTTTTTATTTTTCCTCTTTGATTTTTTTTCATGAACATCTTTTGAAAATGTTAAATATTTTTAAAATTGTAGTATTTTTAAAATGTAAGAACATTTTGCAAATTTGAGAAATAAATACGGTTCAAATTCATGAATAGTGTTTTATCTATGAACCATTCTTGTAATTCAAGACAAAATTCATAAACAATTTTTGGAATTAAGAACATTTTTTTATCTTGGACCATTTTCAAAGTTTTGAACTTTTTTTTAATCTAGAACATTAATGAAATCACAATAAAAAAATGAGCACTACCCTAACTGTCGAACCTAGCCATTTGGCGCCCAAACTGGTGGTTAAACTTGGCGTGATACGTCGACCGGACCGAGAAGGTTCCTGACCTTGTATACTGCCACACCATATAGTCTTCCACGGCCTCTGTCCGAAGAGAAATTTGCTTAATTCTAGCAGCATCAATTGGTGAAAAACCAGATCGAATGAGGTCAAAATCCCACCGCCCCGTATGATGGCCTATGATTTCCTTCACCAAGGTTAACATTGTCCCTGCTCTTGGTGTTATAACCTTTCTTCCTTCACTAGCTAGAAGGAATCCAGGGAACTTTCCGAATATTTATTTGTCAGCCCATTTCAACTCACCATATACATCCTCTTTTGAATGTCTGAATTCCAACCATAATGCTTTGCCAAGTAAATGATGGTCCTTTTTCGGTTCAACTTTTCATATATCACCATTGGGGTAATATTTAGCACTTAATACTCGTGCACACAACGAGTCTGGATTTTAGAGAAGACGCCAACACTGCTTCCCTAACATAGCAAGATTAAAACTCTGAAGCTCCATAAACCCCAACCACCTTTCATCTTTGGTACTACAAACAATTTCCGGTGCGCCAACCGGTGCTTTTTTCTCTTCTCTTATCCATTTCCCCACCTAAAACATGATATTTCATCACTAATTAATTTGCAAACCTTTTGAACGATCGGTTCTCCACAACCCACAAGCAAGCAAGTGAGAAAACGTGCATCTGGTGCCTGCATGTACAGCCTTTTGTCAATCTGTATAGTCATCAATCCACGCATATGCCTTGGGATCTAGTCCTTATCCATGCAATGTGATAGAGAGCTGCCAAATGTGCTTGTCCGTAGCGATTTCCACGCGTTAATTAGGTGACCCGTAGGAGGTGTCACGAGGCTACATATACTACGGCTGGCTGCTAGCCTGCTTCACACGCACAAGCTAGCAAGCTCACTACACAAGCCATGGGGATGAAGCGATGCGTCGTCGTTCCTAGCATCCTGCTCATGCTTGCACTCCTCGTCGCCGGCGACGAGGTGGGCGCCATTCTCCTGCCCAGCCAAGCCAAAGGTACGCGCGCGCGTCAACTCCTTTCTTCTCTAGCTCATGGCTTCATGCGTCCATGAAGAAACTGATTAACCGAGGGCTTGCGGCTGCAGACGAAGCAGCCATGGCCATGGCGGCGCCCAAGAGGCCGTGGAAGTGCTGCGACCGGGCCTTGTGCACCAGGTCGCTCCCGCCGATCTGCACCTGCATGGACGAGCTCTTCGAGTGCCCCTCCACCTGCAAGGCCTGCGGGCCGTCCATCGATGGCCTGTCCCGCCACGTCTGCCAAGACCAGCACGTCGGCGACCCCGGGCCCATTTGCAGGCCGTGGGAGTGTTGCGACCTGCCTAGCTGCACGAGGTCGTACCCGCCGACGTGCCGCTGCATGGACGAGGTTGACAAGTGTGCTCCCACCTGTAAGAGCTGTTTGCCGTCCAGGTCTCGCCCTTCCCGCCGCGTCTGCATCGACAGCTACTTTGGACCCTTCCCTCCAGCATGCACGCCCAAGGTTGTCGCCGCCGGCGGTAACTAGAACGCCCGCGAGTGTCCTCCTGCCTCCTGCCCTGCTGCAGTAGCGGTGTGTGAGAATAAAGTTAAAGTGAATGGCCGGCCTCCTGTCCTGCCTATGTGTGGTGGACACACAATTATGAATAAGACAACATGGCAATGTTTAGACCTCTCCAAGTGCTCCATTTTTGTACATGTGCTAAGCATGCCAACTTAAGCAAAAAAAAATGATATGGCAAGTTGATTAAGTAAAGAGAGAGCGAGCGAATATGGCCATGTCTAAGTCTATGCGCGCGCAACCCAGCAGCGTCACCTCGCCGCCGTCTCCGGCCATCGATCTCAGGCTATGCCGCTCTATGTGCTCGTGGTGTACGGCGCGGCGCTTGAGTTGGATAGATAATAATCCTTGGTGCTTGTAGTTGACACCGTTTGCTTATGGATGAATCTTCTTCCCGGCTCTGTCTTCGGAAGAAGAAAGATTAAACAATGTGATCTTCCACGCTATCTGACGGATGCATCGAACCAGCTGTTAGACTCTAAGATAGCATCAGCGCACACCATATTACGTATGTGCTGATGATCACATGGCACGTTCAACGTTTGACCAAACAATCTGATCTTAGTAATAAACTAAACTATAATAATAGATCAGATCATGTACACTTGAATGAAACACATACGAACATCGATAACTTTTTAATAAAAACTAAAATAACACCGAATACCTTCAAAACTGTCATCTCTAACTTCAGCTTTTGCATTTGGACATTTCTCCAAAACTCTGGTGAACCACAAAAGACCAAACTTGAACACGTCAAACTAACCTCAAATATTTTGGATAGTCTCTTGAGTCGACCACCCCAACAGGTGGGAATCTAAGATCAATGACCCCGCTGCCGGGACATACTCCTTTGCAAGGCAGACCGCACACCGCTGAACCGCCAATTTATAGGCATAACGCTGTACATTTTCTGTATGCATATAAAACACACACACACACACACACACACACACACACACACACACACACACACACACCCACACACACACACAGAGAGAGATACATGATTAACGTTATTCAAAATACTTGTTTTTAAATACTTTTTTAAATACACAATGAAATACTTTTGGAATGGTAAAAACATTTTTAACTATGCGAAGAATTTTTGAAAAATTTCATAAACATATTTTTGAAAATCGTGAACATTTTTCTGAATGATGTGATTTTTTTAACAGCACAAATATTTTTACATTGTATAAATATATTTTTTAAATGACATGCACATTTTTTGGAAACATGTGAGCAATTTTTAAATGTCATAACAATTTAATGCTATAATTTTGTCCCATATTAATTGACTCTCAACGGTTGTACCTAGCATAGGGTCAGAGGAAGTAACAACATTTTACACCGTGTTCACATTTTTTACTTTTCAAGGTACATTAACTAATTTGTTTTTTAAAGTACATGCATTTAGAATGTCTCAAACTATAAACAAAAGAAGAAAAAAAAGAGCAAACCTAGCAAGCTAACATTAATGGACCGACTGCACTTAGGGCGTTCCCGAAGGCGAGGCGGATCATTGTCTCGCTATAAGCAAGTCAAAGATATGTTAAGAGAAGCAGGGCTCGTAAAAATGTTAGATGCGGTGGGTCCTATTCTTCCATAACTCAACGAATACCATGCAAACACACACCTGGCTAGAGTCATGCTGCTACATGAGCTGGCCATTTTTTTTGGTGGGTCCTGTTCGCTCTATAATGTGGCGAATACCATGCAAACACACACCTGGCTACAGTCACGCTGCTATTTTTTTGGTTTCCTTCCCATCGGTTTTGCGAATATTACAAAGCCTTTTTTGAGTCAGTTTTTCCTTTTCATGTGTTTCCTTTCTTCCAGTTTCATTTGCTTTATTATGTGCCTTCTTTTTTCCTGGTTTTTATTTTTCTCTTTTTTTTTCCTCTTTGATATTTCCATTAATATTTTCTAATTTTTTTAAAGTTTTTTAGAATTTGGAATATTTTTAAAATGTAAGCACATTTTTCCAAATTTGAAAAATAAATATGGTTCAAATTCACGAATGGTTTTTTAATCTATGAACCTTTCTTGTAATTCAAGACAAAATTCATACACATCTTTTGAAATTCAGAACATTTTTTCAATCTTGGACCATTTTCAAAAATTTAAACATTTTTGAAATTCACAATATAAATAATTTTGTGAATGCTTTTTTATGTTTAAAAGAAAAATAAAAAGAAAAGGAAAAAGAAAAGAAAAAGAAAGAGAAAAATAAATACCAAAAAAGGGCACCCCGCCCGCATATGGGCCTACCAAAAGTGTGCGTGGGGTTGCACGTCCCCCCTCCCGCCACCGCCATGCCCTAGGCCCATGTTAGTAGGACCTCTCAACTCTTGTGTTTCGGAGGTTGAACGATCTGTGCCCGAAGCTCTAGTCATTGTCTTGATTGACTTTTGTTGCCAGTGGTGAATGATCCATAACTTTTTTATGTACAATAAATATATTTAGATATAAAAAAAATCAAACATGCATAAAAATATTTCTGATGTATAAGGATAAATATAGACAATGTTGAAATAAGAAAATAAAAATAAAAAAGTAAAGAAAGTTGGTTAAAAGCAAGGAAAGAAACAAATAAAACCAAAGAAAAAAAAGGAAAAGTGAAGTAAAAGGCCTAAAGAAAAACAGAGAAAAAACGATGCAAACAGTAAATGAGAGATAGCTCCGACGCGCGTCTCTATGTAGATATTTCCATACCCGAAATGCTTTAATGAAAATCGTATGGCTTGTTTTAATAGTTGCCTACATTGTATTAGGCACTGAACCATATGGTTTCTCTTAATGGAAAATTGGAAATCGAAAGGGGAGGCCCTTCTTTTATTTATTTAAAAAGCAGCTGGAATGCCTCATGGGTAGTTTTTCTAGGCGACCTTATGGGCTGCTTGGGCTGTCGCTTAAACTATGCTCTGGCCTACTCCTCAACGCAGAAAGCCCAACGAGCCTGCAGAAAGGCGCTGAAAAATCTCGCGCATTGTTTCGGGTCCCACACGGCTAAACCAACCAGAGCTCACCACGTCGCGGCCCCGCGGGCCCAAACAACCGTCCATCCACCGACGACGCAGCTACGGCCACGTCGCCCTCGCCAGGATACGGGATGGGAGCAGGCGCGCCCGCAAGCCGGGCCCACCGCCCAGTGTCACACACCCTCAGGAGCCGACCCCACATGTCACTCTCAGTGCTTCAGCTGCCTTTCCTTTTGTCACCGCCATTCGCACCCACTCCACCCTAGCCCATCTCCTCCTCCTCCTCCTCCCACCCCTGCACAGCCGCCACGCCCCGCCCCACTCCTCTCCACCGCCGCCGCCGCCGCCGCCCCCTCGCCGGAGCCGGAGCAGGAGCCGGAGCTCGTCGCACGGACGGAGTCGGCGATCCCCGCCCGGAGCCTCGGGCCCGCGGAACAGCGGACGCGGAAGGGGACGCGGACGGGGGGTTTGATGAGATACGGGAGCCTGCTGCGGCGGCGGCGCGGGCGGTGAACTGGTGATGCTCCTGGCCTCCTCGGTGCTGCGGGGTCGCCTCCGCCCCCTCCGCCGGCCCCGGCCCCTGATCATGCCCTCCCCTCTCTTCCTCTACCGAAACCCTAGCCCCAGCACCAGCAGCAGCGCGAGCCCCCAACTCCCCTCGCCTTCCGCCATGAGCACCAGCGGCGTCTACGTGCCGCCGATGCGCCGGCTCCGCTCCGTCATCGCGTCCACCAACGGGAACCTCGCGCCGCCGCCCGCGGTGCAGCCCGCGTGGACGCCCGAGTGGCGGGCCGACGGGCGCTCCCTCAGCCCGCCGTCGCCGCCTCAGCCGCAGCGCCGCACGGCTGCCCTCCCGCCCCGGCCGCCGCCGCCCCAGACGCAGCCCTTGCGCCAGCAGACCGCTGGGTATTCTCGGTACGCCTATGACGACTTCTCCGAGGAGGATTCGGACCGGGAAATGGACCGCACGTCAGTTTCTAGCAAGGTAGATATACATTACTGTGCTTTGCTTTTCTTGTATTTTAGTGTGATGAATATCTTAAGCTTGCATGTATGCTGTGTCTTTTGGTGTGCTGAAGGACTTCGTACAATAAGTTATTGAGTATGGATAAACCAAGGATTGCTGCATCTATGTTCTGTGCATCCATGGACAGAGAAATAATAAAACCCCGTTTGAAACATGAGTTATTTTTTTAAACTGATGCTGCAGGATATGAAACAATTTACATGAAATCTGTGTCTTCCAAACATGCATTGATCTAGGTTGCTCTACAAAATTCTTTTTAAGATCATAAAATTCTGAGGATCACATGAAATGGACGTGCCCTGCATATTCAGTTCAGACATTGTGCGTGTTTGGTGTCTACTCGGATGCTGGTACAATTTGGAGAGTATAATGTCAGACTTAAGGATTTTTTTTTTACAAAGACCTTTGTTGGTTAAGTTTGAACAAATGCAATGCTCTGAGTATTAAAGTGAAAATTCAATATATCTACAGAGGTACTACTGCTTTTGTGGAATTTTAAACGGCAACATTTTCAAAATGAGAAGTACTAGTTTTTTCTGAAGTAAGGAAGACCTTGACAAAGTATTGCAACTGCAAATATCTTTTATGTTGAGAATCTTGAAATGGCATTTTTCTGTAATTTTTTGCTTGTCAAAAATATTTGCTATATAGTTCTTTTCTGGAAAGAATTAAGCTTCCTTTTGGTTTTGAGGTCAACTCTATTTAGAATTGATGATTGCTAAAATAAGGAAACATTTGGTGTTCCCACATAACAATGAAACACCAATCTATTGGCCATGGTATTATTTTGTGTCACGTTAAGTTCTTTACAGTTATACTCAACAAAAATTCCAGGGGGGTGCATCTACTTTAGAGAATGTTGACGAATGGAAATGGAAACTGCACATGCTTCTCCGTAACGACAATGAACAAGAGATTATGTCTAGGGAGAAAAAGGACAGGCGTGATTTTGATCAACTTGCCCAACTGGCAGATCGAATGGGTTTGCACAGGTACTTCATGGCCCCTCTAATATCAATGTGTTGCATATGCTTTGCCCCCTGTCTGATGATAATTTATGTTATGGCAGCCGTCAGTATTCCCGAATCATCGTGTTTAGTAAGGTCCCCTTGCCTAATTATAGATCAGACCTTGATGACAAAAGACCTCAAAGAGAGGTATGCTGAATTGCTGATTGTCCTAGTAGCTTAAAGATTGAAGTGTGTATGACTTTTACATTTGTTGGCTGAAATATTTGCTTTATAGGTATCTATACCTTCTGGCTTGCAAAGAGAAGTTGATGCATTGCTTGCAGACTATCTTGCGCGGAAGAGAACAGACAGTGGGAACTTTCCTAATGCTGCCTTCTCAAGGTCAAGCAGCACGGACAGTTTCGCGACTGATGAAAGCTTCTATGAGCAGCAGGATAATCAGACATCAACCAATGTTGTGATGGAAAGAATCCAAAGAAGGAAAAGCTTACAGTTGCGTAACCAGCAAGCTGCTTGGCAGGTTTGATTATATGCAGTAGACCACTTGTCAGTTTTTCCCCGTGGGTTGGGAGTGCTATAGTACACTGAAGATATACACATGAAGTGAAATTTATGTTTAATATTAAGTCTCAAAACTTGTATCACATTTTTAACTTCACCACAATATCCTTGCCAATCATGGTTTTGTATAATTTCCCCCAATTTCGTATTGTACTTCACTAACTATCATCTCCACTCATCTGTTGTAAATGGAATAAATTGTATTTGTGGAAGTACTTTAGATAACTGATATATCATATTATCTTCATATGACCAATCTTATTGGTATGTCATGAAATGAAGGGATTACTAGTTGTTTACGTACATCATCCTATGCAGATACACTATTGAGTTTGTGATTGCATATGTCACTCAGTTTCACGGTGTTCTTTTAATTTGCTCACTAATTTTCTTTGCGTTTATGTTGCATGGTAAATGATACTTTACTCTGTGTAATACCGTGTCAATGTTCAATGTCTGATTATTGAATTGATCATCTAATTTAGGACCGCATAACTAGCCTAACATGTTGGTCCTAAGATGCCAGAATTTTAACTTGACAAATGGGCAGGACTTTGATGCCTTCTGAATTGTTAGTCCTGCCAATTCGATATTTCTTTTCTTACTTATGTTTACACTTTAATATAGTTTTTAGTGGATCAATGACCTTTTCGGATTATTGCACCCTGTTGATTAACATTTTCTCTGTTTCAGGAATCAAATGATGGTCAGAGCATGATGGAGTTTCGTCGTAGTCTTCCTGCCCAGAAAGAAAGACAATCACTATTGGAAGCTATATCTCAGAATCAGGTCCTGTTCTTTTCCTTGCAGGGCATTTTAGTCACAGTTTGGTAATGTTTGGTTTTCTTGGTATTTGTGGCAAGTATTTAAGAGCAGAGCTAAATATGGTTTAATTTTGCTTTTGCAATACCCCAACTCATTTGTTTGTGACAGCAAATATGAAGTGATGTTATCATGACATAGAAAAATAAGCATTAAACTAAGTGATCTAAAGCCAATCTGTGTGCTTTTCATGTGAAAAAAAAATGCTATGTTGTGCGCTACCTCTGGATGTTGAATAACTATTCAAGAAATGGATATTCCCCTTGTTTCTTAAGTGTCACACATATTTATGATTTTCAGTTCTGTATTTCTTAGATATGTAATCCTCCATTTGTCTGGGAAAGTTATTACTAATTGTTTTGTTATCTAACTTTTTTCAATTAAGAGTGTTTCTGCAAACTATCTGAGAAATTTGATAGTTTTTACTACTCAGCACATGGGTTGAAAGCCTAATACTTGTGAGTAGCTATATTGAGATAACCAAGTATTAACAGTGCTTTGCTTTATTGAACAGGTGGTTGTAGTTTCAGGTGAAACTGGCTGTGGTAAGACAACACAGTTGCCACAATACATTTTGGAATCTGAAATAGAAGCCGCTCGTGGTGCTACTTGCAGTATCATTTGCACTCAACCAAGACGAATATCAGCTATTTCTGTTTCTGAAAGAGTTGCTGCTGAAAGAGGTGAAAAAATTGGGGAATCGGTGAGCTACTTGCACCTATACAGTGAGAAAATTTTCCATGCTGAGGTTTCAGTTTTGTGGTTGCCGATGGGTACTCATGGTTATTTTAGTCATTGGATGTTGTCCAGGATAGTCATTTGTTGTCCATCCATAGGTTGCTGACTGGCCAGTAATCCAGTTGCTGTAGAACTTAAGGGTTTACACTATGCTAAACAGTTTGTGCAAACTTGGTGAGATTATTCTGTTTTTTTAATTTTGATAAAAGAATTGTTACCTTAGGTTGGCTACAAAGTTCGGTTGGAAGGAATGAGAGGAAGGGATACACGCCTTCTGTTCTGCACTACTGGGGTCCTGTTGCGAAGATTGCTGGTGGACAGAAGCTTGAAAGGTGTCACCCATGTTATTGTGGATGAAATTCATGAACGGGGCATGAATGAAGGTTTGCATCACTCATAATAATTCTGAACTAGGTATCCAGGAGGTAAATAGTGTTAATTTTGTTGGGTCTCTGTGCTAGATTTTCTCCTTATTGTCCTAAAGGACCTTCTTCCACGCCGACCGGAGCTAAGGCTTGTATTGATGAGTGCAACACTCAATGCTGAGATGTTCTCTTCATACTTTGGTGGAGCACCCATGATACATATACCTGTAAGATATTTTATTAAGACTTCTTTGCTCTTGTATTTGCTATCATATCAGTCTGCTCATCAAGTCATTCTTTCATTTAAATCAGCACAAATGTATATCCATAATATGAGCTGAATTACACCCATGTTGTGCATGGCTGCTCTTATCAGTCTTATTAGGAATAGTTTTTTGAATCACTTGCAATTAATTAGTGCTTTGTGTATATTGAGTTGGCCTGAAATCTTTTAACCTTGTTTTCCTCTCTAAACCTGCAACTTGCTTGGTTGTTCTTTGCGGTCTAAATAAGCTGCATGCATATCTCATTGTAGGGTTTTACATACCCTGTCCGGAGTCGTTTCCTAGAAGATATTCTTGAAGTTACTGGCCACAGATTGACTCCGTACAATCAGATCGATGACTATGGCCAAGAGAAAAGTTGGAAGATGCAAAAGCAAGCTCTACGGAAGAGAAAGAGCCAAATTGCTTCTGTTGTGGAAGTACGGGAGTCCCTATTTTTTTAACCATTTATTTTCTGCTTAAAGCTTTGGTCTCTAAGCTTCTCTTTTTAACAGGATGCAGTTAAAGCTGCGGATCTAAGGGATTATAGTCCGCAAACTCGTGACTCTCTATCCTGCTGGAATCCTGATTCAATTGGTTTTAACTTGATAGAAAATGTCTTGTGCCATATTTGTCAAAAGGAAAGAGATGGTGCTGTGCTTGTATTTATGACTGGGTGGGATGACATTAATACGCTAAAAGATCAGCTACAATCCAACCCATTGCTTGGCGACCCTAGTAAAGTTTTGCTGCTTGCATGTCATGGTTCAATGGCTAGCTCAGAGCAGGTATTACATCTTTGTTTTCATTTCCTCTTTTGTAGTTAATAGCACACCCATGGTTAGTTCTTTTGTTTAATACATGTACCTACAATTTACTTGTGCTGGTAACACTGGAACTACTTTGTTAAGTCATTTAAATTTGTACTTGCTACATCATACACGATTTTGATAGTGCTGGCAGTTTGAGGGAGTTCTTCTCTAGGCTGATGTGTTGGTTAAATTTGACATAAAGCAGTCATGATTCTGTCCATTTATGTGTTTCGATGAGTCATTTAAATTTGTACTTGCTACATCATACATGATTTTGATAGTGCTGGCAGTTTGAGGGAATTCTTCTCTAGGCTGATGTGTTGGTTAAATTTGACATATTTAAGCAGTCATGATTCTGTCCATTTATGTGTTTCGATGCTCCTTTGATTCATAGAACTTTCTCCAGTCACCTACTCCCTCTCTTCCGGTTAATAAATCCCGCGGGTATCCCTAGGTTGTCAATTTGACCAATGTAATATGAGTTATAGGCCACAGAAAGCATACTATGAATTTTTATTCGGAAAGTTTCTAATGGATATATAACTTGTACTATATTTATGATATATAACTCGTATTACGTTGGTCACCATTGATGATTTAGGGATACATGTAGGCCGTACAAACTGGAAGGAAGCAAGTATTACTTATTTAAACTGTTCTTCAGATGTACAGTAGGAATTTCCGCGACCTTATTGAATTTTGAATCTATCATCTATTACAGTTTTGTGTAAAATCAGAAGTGTTCCTCTTGTTTTATTACATGATTACTCAAGTATACATCCAGATAATTCTTCTATAGACCATATAGGCTATTCACAGGCTGTAGCCATGGATAGCAAACAGTACAGATTTATGTCTTTTGATATATCAATGATTTTATTCTTATATTTTTTCTTTGTTGTGCAGAAACTAATATTTGACAAACCTGAGCCTGGTGTAAGGAAAATAGTTCTTGCCACCAATTTGGCTGAAACTAGTATTACTATCAATGACGTAGTTTTTGTTGTTGATTGTGGAAAAGCAAAAGAGACATCTTATGATGCACTGAACAATACCCCGTGTCTGCTTCCAACCTGGATCTCCAAGGCTTCTGCTAGACAAGTAATATTTTCTATCTTATTGGAATATGACTAATTTTATTTTTTAGTGCAACTCACTTTTGATTAAATAATTAATTCTGTCTGTGTGGATATGTTAAGCAAGCAACTCGAGATTTACCTTCAAAAGCGTCTTTGGTCATCACACTTACATCATGTCCTTTTTTGTTATTTTAATGTCTGGTGATTTAGAGACGAGGAAGAGCTGGCCGAGTTCAATCAGGGGAATGTTTCCATCTCTACCCACAGTGTGTATATAATGTGTTCGCTGACTACCAGTTGCCCGAACTTCTGAGAACCCCTCTCCAATCCCTCTGTTTGCAAATAAAAAGCTTGCGGCTTGGTAGCATCTCAGAATTTTTATCCAGAGCTTTGCAGTCACCTGAGTCTCTATCGGTACCTTCCTTTTCACTCTTTGTTACCACAATCACAAATTTTGTCCTTCTGTCTTCAGATGATCCGATAGTTTATTCCAATATATTTGCTTTAGGTACAAAATGCCATCGAATATCTCAAAGTCATTGGAGCATTCGATCAGAATGAAGAGTTAACAGTTCTAGGTACCAGATCCACCCTTTAAATTTATCTGTGAATTACCACCTCTTTACTGCATCATTCTGGAACTTTTGCAACTTGTGTGCTATAATACTTGCTGTTTGTCACTCTCAGGAAAACACCTGTCTATGCTTCCAGTTGAGCCTAAATTAGGCAAGATGCTTATTTTTGGGGCTATATTTAATTGCCTTGATCCCATATTAACCATTGTTGCTGGACTTAGTGTAAGAGATCCATTCATGACACCATTTGACAAGAAGGATGTAAGTATGCCTCTTCCATCTCTAATGCATCTAAATATGTCTGTTGTGCTCTATACTTGGTATTGAACTTCAGCGTTTTGCCTTCCTCCATGCAGCTTGCAGAGTCTGCTAAGTTGCAGTTCTCATGCCGTGACTATAGTGACCACCTTGCGATTGTTCGTGCTTATGATGGATGGAGAGATGCTGAAAGAGATCGCAACGGCTATGACTACTGCTGGAGAAATTTTCTGTCAGCGCAAACCTTGAAAGCCCTAGATTCTCTCCGGAGGCAGTTCCTCTTTCTTTTAAAGGACACTGGCTTGATTGATGAAAACATGACTACGTGCAATAAATGGAGTCGCGATGAAAATCTTGTTCGGGCAATCATTTGTGCGGGTTTATACCCAGGTGTTTCCTCTGTTGTGGTGAGTTGCTTCTATATAAATTTCTGTTCCATTTTATGCATCTAACTCACCTGTAGCTCTGTTGTAGTAGTAGTAGTATAGCTTTGGTTTGCCTAGGACAAAGGTCATGTTTGGACCATTTTTTTTTTTGCATGTGAACTTCTTAGCCACACTATTAGAGCACTTATAATTCTCTGATCTGGATCCTAATGTGCTTCTTGGTAATTCAGAACAAGGAGAAATCAGTTTCTCTCAAGACAATGGAGGATGGGCAGGTTATGCTTTACTCGGTAAGTTAGTACATTCATTCTATCTATCATGATTGTGATCATGTCGCCATTTTACTTCGATCAGGCGGTCAGGGACTGTACATGCTGAAGTTTCATCTTGATCTTTGTTGTTGTTTCCAGAGCTCAGTGAATGGGAAAGAAGCCAAGATTCCATTCCCCTGGCTAGTGTTCAATGAGAAAGTGAAGGTGAATTCAGTGTTTCTCCGGGATTCAACAGCGATATCTGATTCTATATTGCTGCTCTTTGGAGGAAACATACAACAAGGAGGCTTGGTAAGTTCCTTTGCATTGCTTATTTGACTTTTGGTCTGGTAAATGGAGATTGAATATCTTCAAACTCCATGCTGCAGGACGGACACTTGAAAATGCTCGGGGGATATCTGGAGTTCTTCATGAGTCGCGATCTTGCATCGACTTACTTGAATCTCAAGGGTGAACTTGAAAATTTAATCCACTGCAAGGTATAATTATTGATCTTAAATATATCATTCTAGATGAATACTCCTCATTCTACATTTTAGTGTTGTTTAGTTACTTGCTGACATTCAAAACAGACATCCAATTAAATATCCTGTAAACACTTTATTTCTACAGCAGAATAAACATGTCTATCTATATGCACTAGATAGATTACGCTGTATGCTATTGGTTCCCCTGCCTTTTCCTATGTGGACGCTGTTGGGTTGCCAAAATGGCAGTTAGCACCTTTCAGTGGTAACCATCCGTTTGAAACCTTTCATCGTGGTTTCCGCTTATGCACATTGGGTTTTCAAGTTTGGTCCGCTTTCAGCTTCGCCCAGAAGTCGATCTTTTCTGACTTGATCAGATAGTTTTATCTGACAGAGCATCCTTCTCCCCATGAAAGTGGATGTTGAAGTTGTTTGCATGAGCTAGTTTTTGGGATTTCCCCCCTTTAGGTCTGTTTGCTTGCTAAAATGCTGGGGGATTAAGATGTAATCTCTAGGAACTGAATTCTATACCATTGTCAGTTCATTTGCCAACTCTTATTGGACTTTCCCTCATTTATTCTGATGCTCTACCTAATATTGACCAACCAATTCTCTGTTTTTGACAGCTTCAAAACCCAAGGATTGACATCCAAACCAGCGAGGAGCTGCTGTCAGCCGTACGGCTGCTGGTCACGGAGGACCCATGCAGCGGCAGGTTTGTCTACGGCCGACAAGAACCAAGGTCAAAGAAAGCAAAGACAATGATCTCGTCGGCCTCGGTGGCCTCCATGGACCGCGGAGGCGGAGGCGGGCACGGAGGGGACAACCCAAAGAACCAGCTGCAGACCCTCCTGACGAGGGCGGGGCACGACAACCCGTCCTACAAGACGAAGCAGATCAAGAACACCCTCTTCAGGTCGACCGTGGAGTTCAACGGCATGCAGTTTGTGGGGCAGCCGTGCGCCAACAAGAAGCTAGCGGAGAAGGACGCGGCGGGGGAGGCGATCAGCTGGCTGACGGGCGGGGAGGCTCCTCCGGTGACGGCCAACGCGAGAGACCGGCAGGACGCCGACCACATGTCCATGCTGACGAAGCCGGCTCCACGCAGGAGGCGGCACCACCATAGGAGGAGCTGATTAGCGCAGAAAGGTTTTGTTCGTTGCACTCAGTCAGGCGAAGAGCGATAAACAGAATACATACGGTAGATTAGCTTGAGAAACACAGCGATTTTTGGTACGATGCCCGAGTTGTTGAAACTGCCTGCGATCGCCCAAGATGGGGTTGTCCTGGTCTTCATTCTTAGATCCTTGGACCTGTTCGTACGGTGACCTCGATACTCATTGTGCAGTGCTGTGAGAGACTATCTAGTACTACGTACTTCCTCCATTCTAAAATATAGTGCGCCTGCGCTTTCCGAGGTCCAACTTTGATCATGAATTTAACTAACGAGACCAATGGTGGTGGGAGAAAAAAAATATAATTGAAAACTTCTTTCGAATACAAATTCATTGATATAATTTTTGCTCCTGTCGCAATTGGTCTTGATAGTTAAATTTACGGTTAAAATTATAGCACGGGGATAGAGAAAACACTATATTGTGGAATGGAGGGAGTATAATGAAAGAGCATGGGATGGTACAACTGCAACAGAGGAACTACTCCCTCTATCCTCAATTATTTATTGCTCAAATTGATGTATCTAGCACTGCTAGTGCTAGATATGTCCTTTTGAGCCACAAGTAATTCAGGATGGAGGGAGTATAAGATTCTCTCACTGCAAAAAAAAGCATAAACAAAAAAATATAGTTAAAAATTTCAAAAAAATTCTGTTTTTTTGTGATGAGTAGTAAAACAAAAACAAAAAATGTTCTGTATGCTTGTCAAATTTCAGCACAAAATGACTTCCATGGAAGTCATGGCGCAAAATAAATAAATATTAGTTGATGCTCTAAAAATGCTAGTTTTAAAACCATTTTGGAGTATTGATTTTCTTTTTCTAACATTTTTCACGAATGTCATTTCGTGCTCAAAATTTGCAGGCATATAAAACATTTGTCAAAGCTACAACAAAATATTAGAAGTTTATTTATTTATTTTACAGTTCACAAGGGTGCATTTGAGCTCAGGATTTGAATAGGACTTTTGCCATCGACATTGAATTGAAGTGTCGACATTTAATGTGTTGTGGGGCTTTAGGTCTAGTCTAGCTAGTAGGCACTGCTTACGATTTTGTTCGGATTTCCTTAATAAGCCGAACACCCATTATTTTTCTTTTTTGGCATTTGCCTTTATGCAGTGCATTACTTCGTTGAGTGTGTGTTTGTAATACATCTTTCTAATCAATGTATTTAGCAGCTCTTCTGCTAACTTTCATTTTTCTTAAGTGTGCCATCTACCGGAGCCACTCTTTTGACGTATTTCACACTTTTTTCCCTTTTCACATTGCTCGGCATGTCTATAAACTCTGCATTTGCTGATATTGCTGGATGCACGATTTCAGTCAGAGACCATGTCTCCTCCTCTCCAGAATCGGTCTCGGTTGTTCCACCATCAGTAGCGCTGATAACTACTACTGCATGAGATTTTTGAAGGTTTTAGCAAGTTTGCGTTTGATACAATCCATAGCTGTGGCGTAGCCAGGATTTCGAGTCGGGGTGGTCCAATTGATATAAAAAAATGTTTACACCACGAATATAACATACCAACATACTAGTAGAGGCCGAGCTATTTAGCTGAGGGGGCCAATGCCCCCCTCCTATGTTCGAACCAATTTATGAGGAGTTATTTATGGGAGGAATTGGACGGGAATTATTTAGCCTTTGCCCCCACACCCCTAGCCCCAACCCTCGTTTTTTAACCTTCTTCAAATACATGATTATCATCTTTTCAAAGACATTTTCTTAACATGTTTAAAATAATATAACAATTTATTAAATGTCATGATTTTATTTAATGTTCTCGATATATTCTGCAAGTTATGTGAGAATTTTTTTTCACACTAGGTCAACATTTTTTGACCGACTATGAACATTAAAATTATGATATTCTTTATTTCAGAAATATAAATAAAAGTAATAAAACCAAAAAGGCTAAAACACGAACGACGAGACGAACATACAGAAAGAACAATAGGAGAAACTACCTGGCCCGGACCAGTAGAACGTCTCTTTAGATGACGCGATGGTTCGCATCGCTGCGAGCAGTGTATAGCTGAGCCCCATTGCGTCACCTACATAGATGTCCAGTTGGGCTGCCGAAATTAGCTTCAGGTTAGTTCGTTTTTATTCGTATTTTCATTCGCTTTTTTCTCATATTTTGAAAATAATACACAATACATCTATGTTGAAAGTTATATTTACTTAAATTTTGAAAAGAAAATGTAAAATTGAAAAATGTTAACACAGTGTACAAAATTTGTTAGCGTATTTTTTCTAAAATGTTGATTGAATGAAAAGAGTTGTGTGACAATTGAAAAATTGACAAATTTCCAAAACATGCTCGTGTTTTTTAAATAAACAATGTAAATAAAATTTCCTGCAATTCATAAATAATGCCTTGTAAACTATCAAAAAAATGTACATGAAATTTAAAAAAGTGTTCGCGCATTTCAAATATATATTCATGATGTTAAATAATGTTAAACAAATGTAAGAAAATGGGTAGTTTTAATAAAAAAAGTGTTTCTTATCATTTAAAAGAATAATTCAACGTGTATGTGTAATATAGTATTTAAAACATGCTCCTTTTTTAAACCCATGTACTAAACAAATGTGAAACGCGTGTGAAAAATGTTTGAGAATTATACAAAAAAATGTAGAATGTGTATGAAAAAAAGCAGACACGAAACCATATATTTTTTGCGGGGTATGAAACCATTTATTTGAAATATTAGAATCGTGTATCTGAAAAATGTTAAACATGGATAAAAAATGTTTCGAACGTAGGGGAAAAAATGTACAACCTATGTGAATCATGTGTTCAAAGAAAGAAAGAGAAAAAAAGAATATGGTTAAATAACATAGAAAATCAGGACCCAAAAGAAAAGCAGTGAAACCCGAAAGAAAGATAAAAGAAAATAAAAAGAAAGAACTGAAAAAACTGCTAATGAAACATATAAAATCAGAAGAAGAAAAATCTGCAAGGAAAAAACCACGCCTAAAACCCGTGCCCGCAGGAAACCATGAAGGGCTGGCACAGTAGCGCGTCGATGCGGAAAAGCTTCAGGCAAGACGGAAGGTACCGTCGGACCAGGCGATGTATAGCCCTGGCGGACAAACATCAACCTCTATTGCCACCCTCAATAATAATAATAATTAAAACATAGACCTATACATGCGTTGAATAGGAATTGCCTTCTTTATCTACTTCCTTCGTTCCACAATACATGCCTTTCATTTATCAAAATATAGATGTATCTAGACATGTTTTAGTATATAGATATATTCATTTTTGAACAAATGAAAGTCAAGTATTTTGAAACGGAGGAAGTAGTCGGCAGTGGGCACCTAAACATGTGGCGTAGTGGTGTCACTCCCGCCCCACGTTGGTTCATTTTTTACTCCACATATTTGATATGGCTGGAGATATGCTATACTACGCTCTCATGTGTACCTCCGGTCGGTAATGGCGTGTGCCGCCATTGGTAGGTCAAATGTACTTACTGTGGTAGTACTAGTACGTGATGGACTGCTGGTTACCTGGTCCTGTTATAACTTAGTACCCGTCGCGTGGAGTTTGGATCATATATATGCCGCCGTTCATTGAACAAGCACGCACGCATGCATGTTGATGCATCATGCATGCATGAGAGACCGAGTTAGCTATATATTCCTGCCGTTCATTGAACATGCAAGTTAGCCTGGTCAAATGCGTGCGTTATTCTTGCATATCTTGATGTCATCTTTTCCTCCATCGCCGGCCTAATTAATCACTAGGAGTAAGAGTACTGGCGTGCATGTTGTGCTACTGTCGCGGGACCGTATATTTTTCCATTGTAACGAATGACGAGCTGGTTGGTTAAGGTATCTTCAACGCGGACCTTCAAATCATCCGGTGAAACCATACGGTTCAAACGTGTTGTGCCATCCAACGCGGGTATGTATCGGTTTACTCGGCGGTCCGAACATATTTTTTCATCAACCAGAGATAAACTAGCGGGTTTGCGGGCGTCCGAACCGCTGTCACGCCCGCGTCTCTCCGGAGTGCTGGTTACCTGTTCCTGTTATAACTAGTATCCGTCGCGTGGAGTTTGGATCATATGCCGCCATTCATTGAATAAGCACGCCTGCATGTTGATGCATCATGCATGCATGCAACCCAGTACTCTCCTCGTTTCTAAATATTTGTCTTTTTTTAGATTTTAAATGAATTATCATATATAAATGTATATAGACATATTTTAATGTGTAAATTCACTTATTTTGCTTCGTATGTAGCCACTTGTTGAAATCTTTAGAAAGACAAATATTTAGGAACGGAGGAAGTAGCTAGATAGGAGTTAAGAGTACTGGCGTGCATGTTGTGCTACCATCGCATGACTGTATATTTTTCCATTGTAATGAAAAAGAACGAATGACGAGCTGGTTAGGTAGGGTATCTCCAACGCGGACCCTCTAACCATCCGCAACCGGCGGAACCACACCGTCCGGATGTGTTGTAGCATCCGACCACCTCTACATTAATGATATGCGGTTGCCGAGGAACCTACTCCGGTGCCACCAACCGTCTGTCAGCCGTCCACCATTAACCTCGCCGCCGCAGCCCAGCCATCCGTCCGCTATATAAACTCCAGGCCCGACCATAGCTGCAGTCATTCTTCTCCGCACCTCGCCTGCCATGGCCTCTGCGCGCTCCAAAGCCCTCCGGGACACCCTCTCCTCGAAGGAGAAGAACGTGATGGCCGCCATTGATGTCAGCTGGCAGGCCAGCCAGCTTACAGAGGCCGTCGATGCCCCAATGGAGGACGAGCCTGCGCCACCATCCTCGCCGGTGCGTGCATGCCTCACCATTGGCGAGGCCCGTGCGCACTACACGGACATGCTATGGGAGGAGGAGGAGGAGGAGGAGGAGGAGGAGGCCAAGTTCCGATAGGCGCAAGCCGTCCAGGCCTATAACCTCGGCCTCCTCAAGGAGCACC